GGGGGGGGGGGGGGGGGATGGGTTATAAGACATGATAACATCCCGAAAATAATAATTCTTGTTACTAAGGTGTTATATTAATGATAACTTTCCTCTTTATTTCTATAATAGATTTCCCAAACTACTCTTGGCTGTAGTTTCACAGGATAGTAGGCGGGGACACTGGACAGTGGGAATCTTGTTAACCCCCATTCATGTGCTTGTCCAATTATGGCAAGTCATGATTAATAATTAAAAAAGGAAATTGACATGTCATGATTAATACATCCAACACCATCAATGCTAGTGATGCACACCCAAGTATAACCAAATTTCTTATTACCCATAGTCTCGATATTAGGTTAAATTATACAAATGAATTGGGATTGCGAGACAGCTATTCTATCATTGCCATGATATCTTTCAGTAGAATCATTGCTTCACTGTGATTACTGCTTCAACATGCTTGCACTTGAGCAAAAATATCAGGTGCAACCACGCCTTAGTTTCCCCAAATACTTTGCGAAGGACATACAGTTTATACATGTGCTGTTACTCAAATCATGAAGCGGAGAGAATCCTGTGACATTTTCTTATGCTTTTTAACAAAGACCATCCTGAAAGTTTCCGTTTGACCAATTTTGATCGTCCACGTGTCTCGTTATGCTAATGGTTGATGCTGTTGGACAGGATGGAGTGACTATACCCACGACACAGATATCTTTACGTTTCGGCGGAGAGGTGAGAATTCTGTGGAAACTATAGATATAATTCTTTGTATCTTTTATGCTTACTTATACTAGAAAGTTATTTTCATTTCTATTTCTTGGAGTCTTGGAGAAGTCGTCTGATTTTTTAATTAGGGTAAACCATATAATTGACAAAGAACTAGTTAAATGAAGTTTTTGTTGATTAGTTTTGTTGTCAATAGGCTGCTTATGCTTGATAAACTCAAGAGGGCAGAGAAAATAAACTGAGCTCAAAGATCAAGAATCTTAGGGTACCTTAAAATTACTGACCTCAACATACGTGTTTTATCCTTGTTCAATCAGTCGATCAATTATGCCCTATGTTGCCCGAACTCTTCAAAAATGTTCTGGTGCATGTCGGATCCTCTAAAAGTAGTGCAGTTTTGAAGGATCCAGTATGAATGCGGCAACATTTTTGGAGAGTTCGAGCAACATAAATTATGCCTCAATGCCAAACTAGTTAGGCTTATGTTTATGAATTCCTTATATCCATTCCTCTCTCTTTGGACCCTTTTATTCCAATACTAAATTGTTCATCTTGTAAAGCAAATTAGGGGGTCTCAAACCTGGATATTATCTAAATCTCACACTTATCCCTATACTTGCATACAAGTCTCTGACCAGATAACGAAAAGTTCAGATATATACTGTACTAATATGTAACTGTAACAACAATAACAAAAAACTCCAACTAATTGGTATCGCCTATATGGATCCTTTGCTTCCATTCTGTTATGTTCTTAGACAAGTCTATATTGATACTGAGAGATTGTAGGTCTACAAAGGACATGGGCAAACTATTTCAAGTAGCATCAGTTTATCCTCTGTGTGTTACTTGTATCTTTTGTCAGATTTGATTATTTTTAATTACTCTGGTCCAATTCTGTATGATTGTGCATCTATCTTAACATTTGTATTTCTCTATATGACATTGTTGGTATCATAACAATTTTATACTACTTGTCTTTCACTTTGTTAGGCATCTTTTTATCGCAGAGTTGCTCCCATAGCAATCTTCCTTTTCAACCACCTCATTTTAGTTTAATGTGTAACATCGTTATCTATCATGCTATTCTCGTAGAATATTGAGTGCATTTAAATAATACAGCCTCGTCCAATCTCACTCCACCTGCAATGTTACTATAGGGTTTTAAAACTGCAGTACATTTATTCTGTCTTATATCTACATATGCTTCTCCATGGTTGATTATTCCAACTTCTGGTTGGCTCATTTGCTAGTTTCATCTGCAAATCGCATGTACCATGAAACCTCAATATGTATGCTATCGGTTAACTCATCCATAACTAGGGTTCTACGGGCTCAAGGCGATTCCTAGTGTAAAGTGTAAACTCACGGTCATATGATTCCTTTGTATCTCCTTTCACAATTCTCACACTTGTCACCGCTCTCTCATACATACATATCCTTAGTGAGATATAAATATTTTTTATGTGTTTCTTTCTTCTATGCGCTCACCAAAAGGACTGTCAGTTTGCACCTCCTGATTTCACCATCTACGTCTGTAGACCTGATAAGAAAGAGCTTGCTTGTTGAACCGTCATTCTTTTCTTCCGGAGCCGAGAACCAGCTGACACAACGATAAAGGAAGTCATAATCTCTTCGAGCCCTTCATTTATGTGCCAAAATAGACAGAGAGATTTGGTAGGAAAATGGAAGTACTTTTTTCTGTTTGATGTATCATAATCAATGGGAGTTGGAAAGCTCTAAGGATTTTTTTTGGAAAAACCTGTGTCTCTATCTTCGAGCTTAAAGCAATGTATTCAGTTCACTCTTCAATTTTTTTCTCAATGATATTTTAATTGGCTTTTGTCTTTCTTACTGAAAATAATTTCTTATTCTTTTTAAATTATAACAGGATATATCAAGATGCCTTCTCTGGACGCAGAGGCATCATCAAACATGGCCACCAATTCGGACTGATGCCCTGTCAAAGCCTGTAGATTTGCTAATGCTTAACAGGCTTAAGGAGTCCTACTGTCAGATCAAAGTGGGTTTCCTAGTTTTTTTTTGGAAATATAAATTCAAGGTTTTTAACATTTATATGCTAGTAAGGTATAGCCCATTACTGGATATTCCTCGCGTTGGTAATCAAAGTATGACGCGGGGAATGTATATCCAGAAATGTCTTCGGCTGAACAGAGACGATTAGTGGATGATCTTTAGTCTATTTTAATCTGACCATTTATAATAACCCTAGTTATGAATTGATGCATCGTCCAGGAAGGCCTAAATGTTTAATTTATTCCACTGTCCAGGAGGGGGAAGTAGAAGCTGTTGCTATGGTACAATCATATGAAGATGGAGTGCCACCTGGATCTCATAAGACAAGGCTGACTGCTCTTAATGTATTCATTTTAACTTCAAAATACTCTTGTATTTATTTTGCTTTTGTTGAATATGACATGTGATTCATGCCTTTTCTTTTACTTTCACATTCTAACTCTCCGGAAATAGGTTCTGCTTATGCCTCATAACTTTCTGGAACAAGAGTTTCAATTGCAATAGATTGCATGTTTATTGCTAACAAGGGAGTGCAGCTAGTGCTTTTTGTCATGGTAATTCAAAGATATTGAAAAATTATATCATGACATGCTTTTGCAATTTAAGCTAGGATTTCATGTGAAAAATTGGGACACACTTTTGCTGTTGACTATGAGATCCATGTTAACCATTGGCCAAAGTGCAATCTTTTACAGTGTATCAAATTCCATCTGTATTTCAATATAAAGAGGAAGATTTGGTACTTGCCACTGATGACCCGTTGAAACAATGAGGTGTGATAAGTGTTTTTGTCTGATAGTTTGTTATTACAGGTTCCTCCAATGGGTTTATTTTACCCAACGCTTTTGGCTCCAGACGTCTATCCTCCGCCACCACGTTCTTGGTACGTTAAGTACATATGATATCACTAAATCCTTTCTCCCTCCTTCTATGCTCAATAATTCCATCTAAATAGGTTTAATGATTATGATGATATGCTTGAGGACACATGGCACATGGACTTCCCTGGTGGTAGTGCATTTCCGATGTGGGAGAACTACCCAATTTTTCAAACAAAGCCAAAGAAAGAAGATAATATTGGTCTAGCTGAAGCTATTACAAAGAGCATTCTTTTGACAGGTGATTATGGAAATATCTTCTATAATGTGGTAGAATTTGAATATACACTTCCTGAACCTTGTTTTATACAATTGACAGGGCGTATTGACCTGCAGAGAAAATTGTTTTGCAGCATGCAACTGGTTAGTTATTTCAACATTCAACCTATACTTATTTTGCACGTGGTTCGAAAACATGACATTTTTCAATTCTCCAGATTGGTGGAGCTGCACTGAGTGACGGTCTCATTCCTGCTGTGGAGGAAAGGTTTGTTTCAAGTCCAGTTTTGCTTAAACATTAAAGGAAAAAAGAAAACAATGCCCCTGTTGCTAGAAATTGGACATACTAATATATACATATAATTAATGAATATGTCACCCTCGGTTTGGAAGAATGTTAAATCATAACTAGAGGACTGCATTTTAGTATATTATCAGGTAAGTGTTCACAAGTAGAATATAGTTCACAATTTCCTAAGCTATGGCTAACGACTTCAGGGGATCACTAGTTTGCTTTGGTGCTCTTATGGTAACTGTTTTCTTTCTTATGCAGAGTATTACATGCAATCCCTTCACATGAAGCAATTGATACTGTGGAGGTGAGTTTTGAGCTTCTGAATTCTGATTTCTTTTCTATTCTAGTTGTTGGTCTTTCTTCTGTATGCATTTCTGAACAATCTTGTGGACCTTTATCTTCTCTTTGTGAGATACATGTGTCAGCTTCTTCATTTAACCAAATAGACTTTATATCAGTCCTCCCCCCATTATCATCCTGAAGTTTCATTATGTGTTTGGCCTTCTCAAAAGTATCCTGCAGATGGTTAGGGTTTTTTTAGCATGCCGAGGACAATAAATGGGGAAAACGAATGGAAAAGGGGAAGGAGAATTGAAAACGAATATATGATAGTTCTATGACATTTTCTTAGGAAGCATGGTATGAAATGCAATTTTAGCCTATTTAGAGCCCGTTGGGGTTAGTTGACCGAAAGTAGCTAATAAGCATCAACTGTTAATAAGCACTTTTAAGTGTTGAAAATTGATTTTATAAATGAGCAATTGAGCATTTGGATAAAAGTGCTTAAACTGATCTTAAGCAATTGATGTATTTGGTGAAAAGGAATGATAAACACTTTTTTCAGTTAAAATGACTTAGATCTTTTGCAAGTTGTTTAAATGAAAACGGGGTTGGTTATTGAAAGATTCTCTGCAAATTGATATAAATTATTTTGTGATAAATACAGTAGGACGTTAGAGCAAAAAGGAGAAGGATGAACGGCGAAAAAATGGAACGGAGAGGGAGTTAGAAGTTTTGTTTAAAAGGGTATTGCGGGGATTTAAAATTGTTGGTGTACAATTTAAAACGGAACGTGTGCGGGTAAATATTGATTAAGTGCAATAGAAACTATTATGTATGTATGTCCATCCTTTTTTTTATGGATTCACACTGTCCTTGTTGACTTACGTCATTCTGTTTTCTTATTTTTCCCCCTCTTTCTATAGTAAGTTTCTGTCAGGAATTTGCATTTACATTTTGTGTACATATTAGGTCTTGCAATCAAGAACGAATCCAGCTTTTGTGTCATGGAAAGGCGGAGCAGTAAGTAGATGCTATTTTTATAAGAAGTTCTGCTTTATGTTCATCACACTATTTTTTAGTTGCTAAATCATACCATTCTGGTAATATGACTGTGATAAAATCATGAACCTTGTATAATAAGGTGAGTTATAAGGAGGTGATAAATAATACGAAACTGGCCTCCACTCTGCAGTAATCAAATAAGAAAAAGGAGTTATGAATAATACTTCATCCATTTCAAGTTATGTGGCATAGTTCGACTGGGCACAAAGTTTATGAAAGATTTTTGGATCTTATAATTTTAAATATGCCATTAGATTTCTGTGGCTATAAAAGCATGCCATTGTGGGTAAAAAAGGAAGTTTAAAGTTAAATTGTTTCTAAATATAGATAGGTGTCGTTCCTTTTGTGATAGACTAATTAGGAAATAGTGCCACATAAAAATAGAACGTAGGGAGTAGTATCTATTGTAGCATTACCTGATGGTGTGTCTTTGCCACCAAGGAAATAAAAGGTCACCGAAGAGTATTTCTCTTAACGAGTAATGAAGCTGTTAATTGCATCAATTGACCTGTATTACTCCAGCTATATAGTTTAAAGAACAATTGATGCTACAGACATTGAAACTACTCTGGTGCATAATTTTTGAATAATATCTCTCAGTTCAACATTAGGAGCCTTAGAAGGACAAGCATTGTATTGTGTCATCCTCTGTGTTTTAAACTGTAGTTCCTTAAAATAACTAAGTAGTACAATATTATAATAAGTGGAATTCTTCTTTTCGAATGACCACCAGTTCAATTTGTCTTCGCTATGTCCAGCATACTAAAAAATATATAGCACGCAAAAAAAAACGAATTTCTTTTAATCATGCATAAGGTGACACCTGTTCAACCAAATCCCAGTATCATACTTCATTTTAAGTGTGTATGAGGACTCCTTAAAGTTAGTTTCACTTTTATAGTCTAAATATGTCTTTGCAGATCCTCGGCATTCTTGATATTAGTAGGGATGCGTGGATTCATCGAGAGGACTGGATTAAAAATGGGATCCACATTCGCAGTGGGAGAAAGTACAAGGATTCATATTATCTTCAAGCACAGGCAATGTGTTATATAAATTCATAATAGGTATAAATGACTCTTGCTCACCCCGTAGTATATTCAGTTGAGACTACATCACAGTTTAACAACAATCTCTGCAGGTATTATGTGTTGGCTTTTCTTTTTCTTTTTCTTCTCTTTCTCTCTCTCAGATTGAATGGGACGGGCAAAGAGAATGGGAAGGGGGCAGAAATTAATCTAGAAATGATGAGGCTATGGGAGGGTAGGATTATTATCTTTCCTTTTTATCTTGTCAAAACAAGATTCTTGTCCTTGCCATCTGGTTTTGTCTTGTTATTGATATATTGCTGGGGTTGTGATGATATGCTTTCATATTGTGGTAATTGTAGAAGAGATTTTGAGAGATCATAATCGGAAGTACAAAAAATAAGCAAGTTTTGGTCATCATAATTTTGTGTCATGCACATGTATCCGGAATTTTTGGAGATAGGAGTACTCGACTGACACACATTTAAAAAACATGATGACATTTATATGCATTATTATTTCAATAAAAACAAGAATGCAGTAGATAATTTTTTTAGGTACTTAATGTTCGATATCCTCTTGTGCTTCTTCATCTTGCTTTTCCTTGTTTGGATTGTGGATGCTCTCAAATGTTTTTAGAGGTGGTTTACACCTTGCTTCTCATAGGGGGGGGGGGGGGGGGGTATTTTTAGAGGAGAGGAGTAG